AAAAAGCGCCAATAATTTGTGAAATCTGTCAAATCTAATAAATAATGTTTGACACAAATTGATCGTCAACATTCGTAACTGCATTCAAACATTTTTATTACCAGAGAAAATCCCACATTCAGTGATTAGCAACACTTTTTTAACATTTCGAGTCTTGTCATAACTTAGTTTTTAACAACAGTTTAAATGAAATCTGCTTATTATTATTGGCAATGTTTTTATTTAATCCAAGTCAAGCCTTAGCTGTCTAATTTCTAAATTACATTGCATGTTATTGGAATTTTCTATTGATGAATCCAATGTTCACATTATCTAAAAAATTAAAGTGGTTTAGATTAAAAGGGCCATTTTTTTCACCAAATTAACCCATATTGATTTCTATTTATCAGCTCATTTCCATAGTTTAATCGGTTTTAAATCAGCAACAACCAATATATTTCATTAATCCTTGCACTTGCATTTCCTCTATTGTGCAGGGGGAATATTGTTCTCCACCCTTGGACCGAAATGACAGATTTACATCACATCTATCGACTATTAAAGCCGTAAAAAATCTATTGTTACGATTCTGAATAACAATAATATTTCAGCCGATTCGTTGTTACAACAGAAAATTACGTTCTTTTTTTTTTAATTTGCTTTATTATAAACTATATCGTTAGGAGCGCATCGTTTGGTTTAGTGAAATTAATATCACCGAAGCTCCTGGGTTAGGCAAGCATAGCTTACTGGTAATATTTTCCTTCTTCTTTTACAAGGTTCTCGAAACAATCGTTGAGTTGCCTAACGTGCGAGTTTCTAAATAGGATTTATTGATCTAGCTTTCTGTAATATTACGTAGAAAATAGATTTGACTATCCCGTCCTGTCAGTCATCCGGAGAACGGTACCAACCATTACACAATGTTGATGGTAGACCTCGTTCAGGTCGTCCTACAGCCACTACAAAAAGTCAGGATCGATACATTCGTACACAGGTCTGCGACATCGAGGACAAACGGCCAATCAGCTTTCTTTAAACTTGTACCAAGTTACAGGAATTGGAGTTACACCACAAAAGATTAGAAATCGGCTACATGCAGCCCATTTGCATGCGCGACAACCGTGTGTTGTGCCCCCATTCACTCCCCATCACATGGCAAACAGGCGTCAATGGTGTAGGCAGCGTAGAAATTGGGGTAATCGTCGATGGGCGCGTGTAATGTTCTCAGATGAGTCCAGATTTACTCTAGATTTCACCGATAGGCGTGCTCACGTTTGGAGGCGTGTAAATGAGCGTCATGCGAACGTTATCGCCAGACAGTTTGACAGATTCGGGCGTGGGTCTGTCATGGTGAAGGGAGGAATCACCATGAATGGCAGAACGGACATACATATTGTTCAAGGAAGGGTCACTGGTGTGTACTACGTTACCACATCCTGGCACCGATAGTTCTGCTCTTTGCTCAACGTGTAGGTCGACGTTTCATCTTTCAAGATGATAATGCCCGTGCCCACCGCGCTCGTGTCGTGAATGACTACCTCCAGCGTCACCATATTGTCCATATGCCTTGGCCAGCCATGAATCCTGACCTTTCGCCTATAGAGCATGTCTGGGACATTACCGGGAGACGTGTTCGTCGACGTCAACGTCAACCGACAACACTGCAAGAATTGGCCGTGGCACTGCAAGAGGAGTGGGTCACATTGCCCCAAATCGTGATTGGACGGTTGTTTAGGAGCATCCAACGACGAATTGCTGAATATCTGAGGATTGGTGGAGGAATTACTCATTATTAAGACAAAAATTAAAAACGTCCATTTTCACTTTTGACAGTGTATCTTTTCGAGTGAAATGCAGCCGTCAGATAAGCCTCTCGAATGAACTGTTTATGTTCATGTGTAGGCAATTGGCCTGTTATTAATATACATTAGTTCCCTATAATAAAAACAGCAGTGCATTTCCACAGTTTTGTATTGTTTCTGAATATCCCCTACTTTTTTTGAAGAGTATATATATATATGCATATTGTGGTATAATTGTCGAAATATTAGGAGATATTTATTTATAGTGGGGCACCCTAATAATGAATAGAAAATTCGGCAGCCACTACAGACGTTGTATATCCACACACGACAGCGCCACCTATAAGTTTCATTGAATATTTGAATCAGCCGATTCGGACTGAATCCAAGCCGGTGATTATCGAAAATCCAAATGATACACATAATTTTAATCATAATTTAATATATTTCATTTCCGCTTTTTGAAATGTTTCGAGATAAATACAATTTTAAAGCGAAACTTAAGGAGTTGGCTGGAAGTAATTTCAGACTCATTTGTTATTTTTGAGATAAACTATAATAAAATTATATTGATAAAATATATTACCTTCCGTATCATTACCCCGATCTCTAAACATGCAGCCGTGTTCTTACTCAGCTGTGGGGGGGGGGGGGGTCATGGTAGCTGTGGTGGCTCAGTGAGAGAGGCTCTGTCTCACTAACCAGCCGTCCCGTTATCAGTGGTGCAGATTGGGAAGCAAAAAGCGAAGTCCAGTGAACAAGTGGACCCTTTAATGTGAATTTCGAAATACAAGTAGGTCGTAGCGCCCCTGCCCGATCAAACATCCCCCCATAGCACACAAACGGCCGTCTTCATTATCCCATTCAGTGCAGAAAAGAAAGACGTTAAAGCCCAGCGATGTTTTTACCCTGCTTCACAGATCATACAGAATGTTCATGCTATATTAAATTGTATTCGCGCTACCCTACCAACATAAGAAATATCGGACAAGCAACCATGTAGTTATAGATCTAGCTTACTAAACACTATATCATGTCTTCCTCTATGTACTATTGTAATAGATATCCAGTGGAATATTCCGAAAAAAGACAAATCGAACGTCTTAATCATAGCTTTTCAGTTAATTTATTAATGTCATTTCCAAATCAAAATTCGACGCGTTCTAATTGAATAAAATATTAGTCTTAAAATAAAATGTATTAATTATTATAAACATCTGATATGCTATTTCTATTTACGTCAAGTGGCTTAAACTTCAATATTGGATCGAATTAGTTGTATATTTTGTATTCATTATCGGACAAGATGACTTTCGTCGTTGATACACGATTTGGCAGATGCTTTATTTTGGTACAAAAACCCATGTCGACCATTTACTTTCTTCCTCGGATGTTATTCAGCTTAATAACGGTTGATAGGCTCTTTGTGTAACTTAAACGTGATACGAGGTCATTATGCCACACACTATGGTACGAGATTATCATACGACATATCCAGTTTGGTAAAAGATTACCATGCCTCCGATCGTATCAATCCTACGAGGTTATTACCACAGATATTAGCCCCCTTGTAATCGTTTGTCAGGTTACTTACAAAATGCATCCATAGTCCAGTTCTTTGTGGCAGTTCATGTGTTTGATAAAACACTATTAGGGATGCTTTGGTCGTGGGGTCACATGCATAAAAATGTTTTTCTTTGTGGCGGTCGATGTGTTAGATAAAGATATCCCCCCAAATACAAAAAATTCGTCTTAATATTTATTCGGATCTGTCAATTAGCCATTTCCCTTGCGCAGTATAACCACGCATGTCAGAGATGATTAGTATATATATTTTTTTATAGACCGATCGATCCATAATTTGAAGTTCGATTTACATATAACAATAATTTGAAATAATTCTCATTAATCATCCGTTATTTTGTTAAAGTGTGGGAGCGACCAGGGGCCATACTATATACCGGAAAACACCGGAAACCAACCGGAAAACACCGGAAAACAACCGGAAAACACCATTTTATTCTGAATACCGGAAAACACCGGAAAAATACTAAATACCGGAAAACATCCTAAATACCGGAAAACACCCTAAATAGGTAATTGTGTTTTCCGGTTGTTTTCCGGTTGTTTTCCGGTATATAGCATTGCCGGCGACGAGGAAACAGTGCAAATATATTTCAGACAACTTACTGAACATTACGTACAAACACATCAATTTATGATAACGGGTGCGAGAAAAATATTCATTTTTTTTGCGCAATACCATAATATAAATAGAGCGATTTTCCAACATCTTTAAAATGAACTTAAGGAGCTAAGTCGCTAATATTTGGGATTTAGAAATTGACACAAAAGGGTCGCCACGCATATATAATAATGTTATATAAATGTATATATATAAACTGATTTATATTCAATCGTTTCCGTTTTTACGCTAAATTCGAATCAGTTATGTTCGACACAATACGCCCGAAGTCTCAATCGATGGCAATCTCTAGCGTCTGGTTATTCAGTCTACACCGATAGTATTTATTGCGCATGCTCCCCAGTTAAGAATATGACGTCACCATTTGACATGACTCGTGGAATATGTCTAGCCTCGTTCTTCGAGTCCCGTGTTACAAATGGCGCTGAAACGCATTATGGTACACGAATCGTGTACCAATGGTAAAATGTATATTTTGTCTTAAATATTGGATTTCAGAAGCTTATCTTTTCCCGGTAAGATCACAACATCAATGTTGATGTAAATTGACCAATAATTCGTGTTTTCAATGTCGAAGAATTTGGATGATATTGAGTTAGAGACTTAGCTACTTTAAATATGGGTTAACGTCCTCCGAACATGTCTGTGAAGACAGCCTTGCGCCAATGCACCATACAATGTGCTTATTTCGAATTCCATCTGTTAAGTGTTTTGTTTTATATCATAATGTGATTCTTTAAAATGGTTAAGAATTGAAGTCTCGGAAATGTATTTTCGGAGATTTTATTCACCGCCTTTATACACCTTTACCTTGGATACCTGATAACTGTTCACATAATTATAATGTTAAATTTGACAATTTATTGTTCCAAGAAACTGGTCAATGCTAAACTCATAGCTACTCATAATTTCTCATGGACGGGTGCTTTTTACGCTGAAGTGTATATATCATTAGGTTATCATGCATTGTCTATTCGTTTTTATTAAGAACATCTTATATTTATTTTCAGGAACTCGAGAAAAGACCAAAATATATGGACACCCGTGAAGAATTATCGGTTTTGAAAGACATGGTTTACATAACTCTACAAGAGGTAATTCATAAATGGTTATTTGTACCAAAAATTATTAAAGATAGGTTAATAGTTTCGGTTACGTATTCACATTATTATGAAGAATATTGATACCTAAGCTACCAATTACAACTGATGCCCTTATAGCATCTGAAGGTCACATTATTTTCTACTGATTTCACACCGCCATCTTTTATGCCCTGATACGGCCCAGCTGACGATTGAGGGGTAACCCATTCTATATTTTAAAATCGATGTAATTTAATTGTCTAATCTATAGAACAATTTTTTAGTTGCCATTTTTGTTAAATTTAGAGAAGTACATGTGACATTATTATTCTTCTAGCTTTAATTTAGCTTAATCTGCTGTTGTTCGAATTACAGTTTAAATTTAGTTTAATCCTTTTGGGGCATTGGCGATTGAGCGCGGTCAACGTCCTTTATCTTTAAAGATTGGCATTTCATTAAACACATCTTTTGAGATTCGGAAAAATGTCATCATTATTTTTACTTGTGATTTCATGTCGTCACACACGTGTCCTCAATGCACGAATGTTATAATTCTAATCATGGTGGCACATGTTCATTTATCTATTAAGATTCTGACAACTGATTCCAGAGATATAAAACATAGGCGATCTAACGATAACATTAACTGTTAAAGACATTAAACATAAAAAATAAATGTACTTTATATAATATCATGTTAAAAATAAACCCCGTCTTCATTAGGCGAGTCGGAGCAGAACAGTAGGAATTTAAACCCTATTTCATTTATTTTCAAACTTAAACAATCCTGGCTTAACGAGTGAGGGTTGGATCATGCAAAGTGGCATGGATTCGATTCCCCACTTGGACGTGACAAGAAGTAGTGTCGGTTGTCGAACATCGTGCCTCTCGGGTTTTCTGGTCTTCCACCCCCCCCCCCCCCCCCAGCTAAACACCCCTAAGCGCAAGCGAGTTATTAAAACAAAATTGAATCATATGTTAGTCCCGAAATGACCCGGTCTCTCTATCCTTCTCTCTCTCCCATGTTATATCCTAATGTTAACACCCGGTAAATTAAAGGTTATCTCTCCAACCTACCAGCGATCATCTCCAGAGAGCCAATTTTTCTTCTAAAAAATATTTGTCAAAAAAAAAAAAAAAAAAAATATTGTCGATTTCACTAATGGAAATCTGATGCGCCAAATTCTACACTTTCATTCGCACGCAATCAAAGAGCGTTAGATAAATGAGATGTTTGATTAAGAAATGTCCTTGGTGGTGCAAAACAGATGGCCACATGAAATCGGAAGCAAATACTGTGAACTTTAGATGGTGTCCAAGACTTAGTTGGGACTGATCGATTTTGAACCAATATACTTTATCGTAAGACTACGTTTTAATTTGGTCTGGAAGTCTAAACCTTATTTTTAGTTTGTAATGTTGGAGCTTGAAAGGACACCAGGCACATTGGTTATTCAGCCTTTAATTTTAGATGTTTTGATAGCATGGACCGTTGCGTTGAAACATTGAATGTGAAATGTGATTCTTGCTAATAATGCGGGATTTTATTTTAAAACCGGAGGCAATTACTGTGGGTTTTATTACTTAAAGAGTGATATCTCCAACACTGAGTATCTTGAAGAGCTGAAGATTTTTATTTAAATTTAAATGCAAATTCTTAAAGGTTCTCCAACCGAAATACATGTTCGTTTAAGTATGTAAATTAATCGCTAAAATGTCTGGAAGTTTCAGCAGAAACGTAAACGTTTATTCAGTTACTAAGCGATCAATGGTAAACAATCTACTAAATTAAATCATTCGATGGAAAATGAAAAAAAAAACAAAAAAAAACAACAAAAAAAAAGGTCCACCGCTGGAGGAGATAATTGCGTAAGAGTTTTAGACGAGTTTATCCAGGCACAAAGTTGTCTCCAACTGATAGTATTGATGTTTCTTTGAAAACGATTCATTGTGCTTCGCGTATATGCTTAGATTGAGTATATTTTCATTGAAATACAACCTGGATTTTTCTATTAATGGAGTAGCAATAGAACTTGACAAAAGTGATTTTAACTAAGTAAAATTGTTCGACCTACCGGTCACGACCCTTTAAAGGCATAATAATCACTGAGTCAATGCTTTTCAAATGATAAAAATAATGTAGTTTTGAGAAATACGTTTAAAGAAAGTAACATTTTTTCTAAAACAAATCACATACGGTACACAAAGATTGGCGAAATTTAACGAATTGGCCCATTCATATGTGTATCGATTATGTACGTTATGAAGGCCCGAATTACTAAAACGCTTTTAAAATAAAATTCTGCTTAATGATGGAAGTAAGATTTAAAAGTCACAAAACTAGTATTTCTGTTTGACACACTAAAAGCTCTTTATGGAATAACAATTACTGAAGTATTAACATGCAGCGTTTCGACAATGATACCCTCGTCTTTATCAAGCAAATACCATTCAAAGAAGGTATTTCTGATTGCGGATATATGTTACTTTTTTGTTACCATTCTCAAAGAGCTTTAAAATTGATTAAATCACGACAAATCGGATGGGATTTAGACCAGAACACAGCTGAAATATGATCTTTACCAAAGATGTGTAGTTTCTCGAGTGTCAGGAATGCATTCCTAGACCTGCATTCCTAGACCTGAAAGAGAAATAAGGTCAAAAATGAAAGCCAATGCAGCCCAGCTTGATTGTCCAGCAAGTGAAAGAATCTTGTGGTTCGAATGGGACGAAAAACCAAGGTCCACCACTGTGCTTGTTGGCATACCGGTCTTCATTTGGCCGGTTGATACCGAAACGGTTAAAACCCATTTCTGTCCATTGTTAGACCCCTCCGTATTGTGTCATCATACTTAACACCATTCGTTTCGCTGTGAAATTATTAATACTCGTCTATTAATATGCAAGTAATTGTGTCTCAGATTCTAGTTAAATGCCTCCTCTGTCATGCGGTATTTTTTATAACGCCCTGAGCCGACTGTTTCATGTAATTATATCTGTAATTGATATTTCACGACGATGGAACGACCAGTAGCTTATGGAGACGTTGGATCGTATTAACAAATTATAACTGTTGTATCCTTAATTAATTGCAATTATTCGGCAGACTTATGCGTTAGTCATATTCTTTGAAGCTGTAAATTACTGTTTATTGGTTATGAATTACCATCACCAATTATTCGTCCGCAATTTCAACGGAATGCAATGAATGCAACCGTGAAATATCGATATGCAACTCGAGATGGATAATCCAAAGAAGGTTGAAAAACCAAACCAAAACCTGGAGGCCATAAACAGTATGTTCTCGAAAACTGGTGGTTGAATCTAAATTTTGACAGGATTACAACTTGTTATTTAGCAAAGGAAAAGCCATTTCCTATTTTATTAAATCTCGAAAACATTGACTTGCAAGGCGATTAAAAACGCATTCCGCTAATGACTGCAGTTGAGAATTTTGAAATAACAAACGCATGAACTATTCAGACTAAAATAATTTTAAATAGGACCTCCGCTATTTTAGTAATATTACACATGTAATGAATTGGGTTTAACGTTCTACTTCCCTGCACCTATATGTCCCGACAGCGACACTACGGTCTACTCTTATTTCGAATTCCATCTGCCAAAGTAGATGAAAGTAGATACAGTTTTACATACACGCCAACGTGAACACGGGGCGTCGGGTTTTTGTTCCATCCGAACGACTACATCAAAAATTCCCCCTGGTTAATGGGTCAATGCATTATCCATTGGGTCACAACGGCTCCCCTTACTTTATGAAAAGAGGAACAGGGCTTACATTGGCAAGAACATACAAATCCCTTGCCAGTCGGAATTCAAAATAGGAGTTGGCCGTAGCGCCGCTGTCCGGGCAAACTTGGTTGGTGGATCGCCAAATGGTTAGCGCGTGCGCGTTGTATCATAAGGTCTGTCATTGAGTCAACTGGCGTGGTTTCGATTCCCCAGTTGTAGGTGATTAGGGTCGCTTGTCCAACCTTGTGGGGGTTTTACCGGGTTTTCCCACTGCTAAATACCCCTACGCGCAAGCGAATTATTGAAATACAGATTGAACCATATTCTTAATCCCGAAATGACCTAGTTTGTGTCGAGTGGACGTTAATTCTCTCTCTCCCCCTCCCATGGCATACTGCATGGCGACTTTTTTTCCTTAGATACAAGATTGGCTCTATTTTAATGATATTCCTTACAAATGGAACTTTTTATAAAGTACAGCTTGTGAATTAAAATAGTCTATATTTTTTGTCTTCGATATCGTTGCTGTGTTGATTATTTCCCTTGAGTATTGACTACAACCTTTATTTAGGCTTTTTATAACCCATGAAGTAGATCTTATCAGGCTAGAAAAATTAGTTTGTTTCAGCTTTTTGAAAGCAAATTAAATTTCTCGGTCTTAAATCGTCGAGATAACACAATTTAAAGAAAGGGTTCATTTTGAAGACAGATGTGTATTGCTGATTAGTTGATATTTATCCTAAAACAAAACTTTCGCCATTCCTTCAATTTACAAAACAAACAAAGATCATGTCTTAACCAATTCACTGAATAACGAGTTTATCGATTTTTAAAATGAATTCTTCTAATTTATAATGCAGATCAGTATTTCCAGAGGTATTTTCTAAAGAACACAGAAATGTGGATATTACATATAAGCCTTTAGCAAGGATCAAAATTTTATGGTGTTCAAGAATTAGAAATATTTATGGCTATAATTTCTTGAACATCTGGTACAATTCGCCACAAGGGCGAGATATGCGTCTTTGTTGGATTTATGTCTCTAACAGCTTGATTCTCCCGACATTTTGTATTTGTGTAACATTTTATTTAACAATTAGAGCCACCTCACGGTTTTCCGATTATAATCGTACGCTTGAAATCGCATCCGATCGATACGGAATTATTTAATAGCTTAGTTCAAAATTTATTACAAATGTTTCATAGTTAAAGGATCTATCAAATCTATATCAATCCACGTGCTATACATCTAAGCTAAATGGTCAAATCTACTAAATAAAGTTTAAGCCTTCCAGTAAGATACCTCGGCTTGTCTGATTGACCTAAATGATTGAAAATAATATTGACTTCGCTTTAATGAATGGAAATGCAATTCTTTTTTTCAATTTACAAGTTTAAATGATCAACATTATCAAAATTGTTTGAGGTAGTAAGTAGTCCATAAAAGTGTGTTATCTATCGGAAATGTGAATGTTTTTGCGTCGAGTTGCATCTACAGATTACGTTGCTCTGCATTGTTGTTTTGATAAACACAGTGTTGGCGATGACCAGAAAAAACATCTAGAAGTTTTTAATCGCCTTTCTTTTAATAAAAGAAATTAAGATGGTTTAAAATTTGAGCTTTAGCAGTGTGAATAAAATTGGTTGAATAAAAATTTTAATTATTTGTCTTTTGTTCTTGTAATATGTTAGACTGTGGATATTATTTCAAAAAGAACTCTTTTGATTCGATTTCAGCTGGCTGAGGAGGGAAAAATAGACCCCGAAGTTCTTACAACCCATGACCAGAAAGCTGTTGTTAAGAGGATGAAATATATGGGAATCTGCATGAGAAAGACGAAATATAATGCTTTAGTACCATACCCATGTCTCCGACAAGGTAATTGTTAATCTAAGACTTTTACGAAAATGCTGATTAGATAACATTTGTAGGGTTTTAAACTTTTGTCATTTCTTTTTAAGTTAATTAATTGGTGCTATCCGTAATTATTATTGTACTAAATGCTACACTTAGTAAATAAGAAGTCCTAAATGTTGTCTCCCGTGCTGTTTATTTTTGTTAAGTTGGAGCAATACCGATTGATAATCACCAGTCATTATATTTTTAAGATTTTAATCTTAAAAGATGTTTATTAAACAGTTTGAAATGGCTGGTTTCTCAACTGTAACTTTATATTTGGTGTAATAGTTTGTGTTTTAAGAAAATATGTAATGTTATCAAAGACAAAAATGGTTAAAACCAAGGATGTCATAATCGACGTCTTTAGACATAAATCTAACACATTATTATGAGAAAACAAAGTACATTGCATGACATAAATAAATTGAATTTCAGCTGATATGATTTCTGTATTGTATTCCGTTTCTTGTTATCGAACCCAGAGAATGAAAGAATCAAATATGTTGTCTTTCTCAAATCCGATTATGTATTTTCTTTCTATCTGTCATGAACAGTTTAAGAATGATGCCTTCTAGGAAAACAAACGGTTATCTCTTATTCCAAAGCCAGACTGTTTTTGTTTATAAAGAAAACATACGACACTAGTACATCTGCTGTGATTCCATAAATTGTAATGTCCGACATAAAATAGGGGATATTTTAGTGAAGAGTCCATCTGCTGTGCGCAATATTAGGATGCGAATGATTTATTATACCTATTAGAGTGGGTTGGTTATCCAGTCAATAATAGAAGGGAGGTAATTCGTATTAGATTTGTTTCCAGAAGTACTACACGTTTCTCTTTTTTATTTTTCAGGAAAATAAGATGGAATTGGAATGATAGCGTCCTCTCCTGTTTTAATTTATCATTGATCATATTTTGCACAGGGTCAAATGTTATTTACATATTCTGGATTTTCCGTCAGTATCTCAAGAAAAAAACCCAACCCACTTAACTTCGATCTCATCAACAAACAATTTCTTTTTTTGTTTTTGAAATTTTGTTATTTCAATTTCTCAATTTCAATGTTACATTATTTTCTGTAATTAATATTTGTTTCTATTTATTTGAAATAAATATTTGTTCACACGTATATGTCATTTCTTAAAGCAGTAGAAGCCTCTGGTCGCCATTTGTGAAAGTTAAGATAGGTCATGTCAGTCCAAAAATTGTTATGTCCAGATTATGTATTTACAGAGATATGATGATCGCAACATTCGGCATTCTCTGCTTAGCATAAAAGCAGCCATCCATACGCGTTGGCCTCAATCGCTTGATGTGCCTATTTTGAATCCATTTGAATCTAAGCTCGGAGATTATCTACCTGTGTGCACATTAACATTAATTAAATAAAATGAAATGAAATGGGGTTTAACGTCCTACTGTTCTGCTCCTAAACTGGGCTAATGAAGACGGGCATACGCCAGTGTGCTATGAGGGAAATTTTGCCCGGGCAGCGGCGCTACGGCCTACTCTTATATCGAATTCCAACTGAAAGGGATCTTTTACGTGCACGCCAATATGTACACGGGACCTCGGTTTTTCGTCCCATCCGAACGACTAGACAGCTGTTCTTGTCAGGCCCTCCGAACATTAATTAAAGTAGTATATATTATCAGTCCCATAATAATAGGGAGATATGGTGGTTCGGTGATTAAGGAGCTGGCTCACAAACCAGGCAGTTGGCCGAGAAAGTTCCGACGTGGTTTCCCTTGTCAGCGGTGCAGGATGAGAGACTGGCAAGAACAGCATCGGATGGTAATCAATATAAGATAGCTTGTAGCGTTTATGGCGTACGTACGTCTTCATTAGCCTAGTAGGCGCAGAACATTCGGATTTGAACACACAACTGTTAGCATTTATATGATAACAGCCACTTTCATATTTATAAGCAAGATTCTTGAATGAAGGGAGAGTGGGGGGGGGGGGTGAAGAAGAAATTGTTTTGAAATAAGGACCATTAAAGGTAAACAATTATTGATTGTAATCTCATTCATTGAAGTATCGAGGGGTTTCTGATTCTTCTGCAAGAACAGTTGATGAAAATAAGTACAATGTTATGATTACGGATATCAGTTGGGCTACTTCTATTTATTGCTAAGTGAGTCTACTATCCGTAATCTGTACAACGTAATGAACAGCAATACGTTTTCATATTAATTTAAACTACATAAAGTGTAGCCCCCAGTTTATGGAAATACAGTTATCTCATGATACTAGACCAAATCGAAAGAGCAAAAGTCGAATCGCCATATTACACCTTTAATTTACCAATTGACCCTGATTTTAATTCTCGTCACTTTGACCGGCTCTAACTTTTCAGCATATGTTTGTTGGGTAGAAAGCCTTCTACCACCGATGGAGCAACGTGTGACGTCGATTTGTCCGTTTGAATGGCAGTGCGGGGGGGGGGGGGGGTTACTATGTTCATACATAATTTGGAAAAATATATTTATTTTAATTTCATATGCAATTACAATACTACATTTAAAGTAGTTACGTGGGTGTACAATCAATCATAATTTAAGATAGTATAATAAAAGATACGCAAGTTGGTTTGCGTTACCCTTTCTGGGGTCATTTTTGCGCTCAATAAACAAAGTCTCGATTATCCATGTTTATACGTCCACATTCTATCGCATATGTATGATACCACAGAGCTTAGACGATGTAAAAGTCAACCGTAAATCTCCATAGATTGTGTAGTTAGATCGACCTTTTTCTTCATTCTGTTAACGTAGATAAACACTAGGAGTAAGCATAGTCCACTCAAGGTACAGATTGATGCAAAACCATACAGTATATGATCATAGGATCGTACATTGTCCTTTATAATACCTGTAAATAGAACAATATATATACACGGTTTTAAATATGTGAGACTGCATTATATATATTCAGGGTTTTTAATCGCGGTGAGAGCGACGACAATACTCACATCTAGTATATGTCAAGGACGGAAATCGTGCCAATTGCGACTAAATAATTACATACATTATACATGTATTTTAAAACGATAGGGGTGTCTGTTATTTCTAACATATTGAATTAATATGACATAAAACTGGTAGGAAAATAGATAGCTATGTGAAATCTCCAAATAAATCAAAAGTATTATTTCGTATTCTTCAATACATATGTGAGGGACACGACGTATATTTACCAATATTAAAACACTATTAGACAGCATTAATATTCAGATGCTAAGAGGTTGCAAGATGGGAGTTGTCTGATTTACACTAACTCTTAAATCTCAGAACACCTAAACATCCCTTGAGGACATATAACAACGTCTACGCTGCTACATTATGAAGTGTGATAACTTTAGTTTTTATATTAAAAGTTGATCTAAAAAAAACTGAATAATGATTACCTCCTATTGGACCTGCTATTCCAAATCCAATACCCAGTCCAGTATTGTAAATACCTAATGCTGTTGGGTATCGATTGCTCCCTGCTACAGAAAATACTGCAATATTAGCGGTGCTTGATAGCATTCCGTATGGTATACCGAACAGAAAACAACAAGTTAACATTAGTGCATAGGTGTCTACCAAACCGATGCAAAAAATAGTCAACCCAGTAAATATAACGTCTAATGAATATTCCTTTACTGGTTCCATTTTTATAAGAGGTCGGGAGACTAAGATCGAGACCCTTCCTACGATATTGCCTAATCCAACACATGATAAAAACAACGACCCGGTAACAGCATCAAATTTTTTATAAGCAGCTATATCCAACATGAAGTAATTGAGGAGTCCTAATGGCACTGATCTAAGAATCAAACAAATGAAAAACGTTATGTGTACTGGGTCTTTCCATAATGAGATATGAGACTGAAAATAAGAATGATTTGAGCACTTTTTGTCCTTTACGAGTGATGGATCAGTTTGAAGAATTATCCGATAAAACATCCCCAAAGGAATAAAGTTGAGCAAAAGACCACCGTGAATCAGAAATACCCCTCTCCATCCATACTGCTGCATCATCAATACGTTCAGAAAGGGAAACATGAAGTATCCTAATCCACCACCGACAAGCAAAGCCGCCAGGGCGGCGTTATAATTGTCTTTGAAAGTTTTGCCAATTGCAATGAACAGAATGGCGAACATGTTGCATAGTCCTAACCCTGAAAAATATAAGAAAAAATTTCTTATTTACCGTAAATTTAATTACCAAAGAAATCCACAGCTAGCACATTAATTATGACTAAATACAACACCATATCAATCATCTAGGCATAACGAACGATGGACGGGATGACATGTTGCGACAAGCGTATATCAGATACTTAACGGGTGATATAACAGTACCAATAATGAAAGGATCTTACCTCCCATAACACCAATAGTTATTATAATCACGCTTAGGTTATGAATAAACGAACCGCCCACAATGGCACAACAAGCAACACATGTTCCAATAATACACATATTACCAATTCCAACAACACTAGCAGCAAGTGGTGATATAAAACCTTTAATAAAACATGCAACAAATCAAATACAAATATTGGGGGGGGGGCAAAATACAAGAAAGCGCATCAGCTATGTAAATCTTAGATAAATGAGAAGGGGTATGGAGAGAGAGAGACAGAGAGAGAGAGATGGGGTTTAACGTCCACTCGACACAAACTAGGTCATTTCGGGACTAACATATGGTCTAATTTTATTTCAATAATTCGCTTGCGCGTAGGGGTCTTTAGCAGTGGGAGGAAACCGGAGGACTCGGAGAAAACCCACGAGGTTGGACAGGCGACCCTACTCCTTGTCACGTACAACCGGGGATTCGAAACCACGGCAGTTGACTCAATGACAGGCCGTATGATACAGCACGCACGTGCTAACCATTCGGTCATCCAACCCCCCGAAAAGGGGTATGGGGCATTATATACACTGTCTCAAGCAAGATACCCGCTACTCAATAAACCTAAAAGATCGATAACTT